CACCGATGGACATTTGGGCTCTTTCCATACTTTGGCTATTGTCGATAGCGCTGCTATAAACATGGGGGTGTATGTGTCCCTTCAAAACAGCACACCTGTATCCCATGGGTAAATCCTAGTAGTGCAATTGCTGAGTCGTAGGGTAGTTCCATTTTTAGCTTTTTGAGGAAACTCCATACTGTTTTCCAGAGTGGCTGCACCAGCTGGCCTTCCCACATTTACATTCTCTTATGAGTTGCCTGTTTGTGTTTCTAGTCCATTTCTCTGGGGGAAATATTTGTTATTTTATTTATTTCAAGCACTTAAAATGTACATATGCAAAAAAAATGTACATATGCATGTAAAGATTATAGATTATTAATTCCTTGTAAAGATTATAGGAGGTTATTAATTCCTTGTTATGTGTTGCAGATTTTTCCTCCAGTTTATCTTTTCTTTAAGAAAATACTTTATTGCCTTATAGACGTTTAACTGTCTTTTTTTTAATTAAAAAAAATTTTTTAATGTTTATTTTTGACAGAGAGACAGAGCGGGGGAGGGGCAGAGAGAGAGGGAGACACAGAATCTCAAGCAGGCTCCAGGCTCCGAGCTGTCAGCACAGAACCTGACGCAGGGCTTGAACTCACAAACCGTGAGATCATGACCTGAGCCGAAGTTGGACGCCTAACTGACCAAGCCACCCAGGCACCCTTGAATTCTTTATATGTTTTGGATATTGACCTTTAAAAAAATGTTTATTTATTTTGAGAGAGAAAGAGAGAACATGCAAGCAGCAGGGAGGGGCAGAGAGAGAGGAGAGAGAGACTCCCAAACAGGCTCCACGTCGCCACTGCAGAGCCTGATGCTGGGCTTGAACTCACAAAACCGTGAGATCATGACCTGAGCCAAAACCAAGAGTCGGTCACTTAACCAACTGAGCCACCCAGGCGCCCCCGGATATTAACCTTCTATCAGTTACTTTCTTCAGTTTCATAGGTTGTCTTTTCATTTTGTTGATGGTTTCCTTTGCCTCTGCAGAAGCTTTTAGTTTGGTGTAGTCCCACTTTTGTTTATTTTTGCTTTTGATGCCTTTGCTTTTGGTGTCAAATCCAAAAAAATCATTGCCAAGACTGATGTCAAGGAGCTTAGATCCAATAATTTCTTCTAGGAGTTTATGGTTTCAGGTCTTAGGTTTCAATCTTTGACCCATTTTGAGTTGATTTTTGTGTGCAGTGTAAGGGATCTATATGTAGATTTATTTAAAAAAATTTTTTAAAGCAAAGGGCACTGGGCTGGCTCAGTCAGTAGAACATGTGACTTGATCTCAGGGTTTTAAGTTTGACCCCATTGAATTGTAGTGCACCAAAATAAATCTTGAAGCCTGGGTGGCGCGGTGATTCAAGCATCCGGCCAGCAGGTCACGATCTGCTTGGGTCGGTGATTCCGAGCCTTTCAGGCTCTGGGCTGACAAGCTCCGAGCCTGGGCCTATTTCCGATTCTGTGTCTACTCTCTCTCTGCCCTCCCCGTTCGCCTCTGTCTCTCTCTCCTGTCCCAAAAACACAATAAATGTTAGCATTCATCTGCCAAAAAAAAATAAAATGTACTTATAAAGCCAAATTAAATGCTTATGTTTTATAAGAAAACTCTATCTGAGTTGAGAATCAGTGGTGGGTTTAGAGTTAAACTGAAATACTTAAAACCCTATTTAGTGGACAGGAGGTGGAGAGATACCAGCCTTTTTCCTGGGAGGGTTATCTGACACTTTGCCGTGTTTAGACTGTCCTATGGAGCTCAGCCCTGTTAGGCTCTTGGAGTGACGTGGTAAAAGCAGTCGTTTACTGAGGGAGGATTCTTAGCTAGGAATCAGGGTCTGGTTATTCTGCCTTTGCTGCTAGCTACCAGGTGACCTTGGGTAGGCCTTACTCTAACTTGTAAAATGAGGGGCTTGTGCAAATATGTATAGCCTTTGGGTAACCTTTTGGACAATAAAAAAATGTTTCTTTAATGTTTATTATTTTTTATTTTGGAGTTATACTTCTAAAGTCCTTTCCTTAGGAATAAAGTGTAAATACAGGAGAACTTGTGTACAAACATGTTCCTTGGAGGATTATTTAATAGTTGAAAATATTTGGAAGTGACTACGTGTTCAACATAGGTGACCAATTAAGCACTTGGTAGAATTTTTATGTAACTTAGTCTTCGGAAATTATATAATAACATGGAAAATATTCATAAAATATTAAGAAATGTCTAATAAGTTTTTCTAATAGATATGTATTATTATATTACCCTAGAAGTGCTTTAAGTTCCTGGCTCTCGTCTTGTGATTCTGTGGTTTAGTGGCAGAGGGGGAAATGTCTCAGATGGCTGTGGAGGGCAGACAGGAGAGTTTGTGGTATATTCTTGGGACCATGGTAGAATCTAGACTTCTGCTGACATTGAAAATGACAGAGTAACGTAGCACCCTGCTTCGGGCTCTTAACTTTTCAAAGCGGTTTGGGCCTGATTCAACTTACTTTATTCTCAGCCACGAACCACGTGGTACTCTGTCGCGAAGCAGAGTCCACCCCACGTGTGGTGACTTGGAGGGCAATGTTGGTTTGGGGCCGGTGGAGAGACGCACTGTGTTTTGCCCTCCTTTACCCCTTTTCACCAGCTCACCGTCGGCTCTTCCGGCCTGGCATCGTGTGATGCGCACCGTGTCCTTGACCGCACAGAACTTCTGAGCCTTCCTGTGACTCAGGACTGTCCCCCAGGGAGGGGCCAGGGTGAAGGCTTGGGGGGGACCTTGCGGTGGTCCTCCTTTCACTCTGATTTTGGTGTGGTCGTCTCAGAGGACAACCAGAACACGTTTGGAAACTGGCTGCGATTCGAGGCAAAAGCACACACTGTGCTCTTCCTCCGTAGTCTTGTATGTGTTTACTGTGTTTGGAGGAGAAAATTAAGTACTTTTTTCCTCGGGCCATTACATGGTGAAGGGCTGGTTTTGGCTTAGACTACCGTTGTTCTAGGTTTGTTTCTGTTAATGAGAATGCAAGTTAGACTGTCCCCTGAGAGTGGCGGCTGCCAGGAGGCGTTTGCCACGAGCTGTTTAGCAGTAAAATATCGGAGGGCCGATGCTATGAGATGTGCCCTTGGGCTACAGCTGCTTTCCACACCGGCGACCTGCATTCTTTTTCCACATTGCCCTTCTGGTCTTCGGGCTCTTGCGGAGGTGTAGTTTGGGTTTTGCAACGGTTACCAGTTAGTTAGTATCTAGTTTTAGTTACTGTGACAACTCTTCTGGAAAACTCATTTGTTCCCCCTGCCCCCGACCCCGTGACCTTTAAGTTCTACTACCTGAAAGAAAAGCTGGAGGTGAAAACTTATTATCATCGAGTAGGGGGAATAATCACAAAATTCCCCGGCCATGCCTATACCCAGCCAGTATTTATTTACTTAAGCACATATGACTATTTATAGAACCTGAGAAAAACAAGGAAATTGTTGCTTTTCCTTGTCATTTTGTAAAAATTCTGAGCGGTAATCTCAGTTTGGAAAGATAGAATTAATACAAGAAAGCTTATTCTGAATTATAAAAGGAACAGTTTATTTAAAAAGCAACAATTTACAGAAGTACGATAAATCTAAGTGTGGTATATCCTTGAAACAATTTTATTAATACAAAGAATTATATAAAAATACATAGATACATGTACATATTATGTGGCCTGTTTTTCTATTGGTACATTAGTGTTTTCATGTAAATTTTCACGGGTATGTGTGTGTGTCTATAAAATATGGGATAGTTAAATGTTTCTTCCAATTGTACTTGGCTTTTAATTTAAACTTCTGTATGTCAGTGAACATTATAAATGCTTCATTTTTATGTTGTCCTGCTTGGCAGTAAATGTAGTTTTTACTTCAGTTGGCTATGTCTTTCAATATTTTTTTTGTCTTTTCACAATTTAACACTAGTAAAATAGACCAGGCAACAGCCAGTGTCTGGGGAGTTTTTTACCAGTATGTGGGGATACCAGAATGTGGGGATAACATTGGCTGTGTAAAATTTGAGTAGAATAATTTTACACGCACACGCACGCACACACACACACACACATAAATAAAAGTAAGCTCTATGGCCATTGTGGGGCTTGAACCCAGGACCCAGGTGCCCCAAGTAGAATAATTTTAAATTAGGGGTTTTTAATCTGGAGTCTGAAATCTCTGAAATGACATATTAAATTTAAGTACATGGCAAGGTAGACTCCATTTTTTTCTGGGGAGGGATTTCCTTAGATATTCAAAGGATTCTGTGACTTAAAAATGGTTTAAAAAAACCATTGCCTTAAATGATTTTTAGTTACCTACATTTCTGTTAGCAGAAAATATATACAGATGTGCTTTATTTTATCTTGGGCCTGCCTGACATCTCTGGAGAGGTCTTCTAGGAGAAATGTAACTTTCTTTTCCTTTCCCCTTGACAGCCTCTTCCCCCCATCCTCTGAAAAACACGAATTAATTTTTACTGCTTCCATTGGCATTTCCTTCCCTATTTTAGCTGAGGTGATTGGCTATTCATGTAACCCCAAAACAACCTCAAAATCTGAACCTAGAAATTCACTGTGGATTCTGAAACTGGAAAAGAACATCAATAAATTTAAATTTCTGAACAGTTGACATCATGGCTTCAGTTATAAATGATTTTTCTTAGGAGTTCTGCAGGAATAACTTAGGGACTGAGGGTTAGAGCCCGAGGTTCCTGGGCAGTTGGGGTCTGAGGAGCCAGGTGTCTGCTGTGATGGGAGAGGGGAGCCGTGTGGAGAAGAAGGTGGCCGTGATGCTTGGGGTTTTTCGCAATTTCCTCGCCTCTGAGATCTGACCGGGTCAGGACAAAGATGTGGGTGCAATTGGATCTTAAAGGAGTATTGCTTATGTTGAACTTAAACTCCTCCAACAAGAAGGGAAATGAGGCTCAAAGTCTCTTAAGGAAGAGCTCAGACCTTCCCTCTCTTCTCATGTCCTCTCCCCTTTTGTGCAGGTGGATGGAAGCGTGCCTCGGGGAAGACCTGCCTCCCACCACAGAGCTGGAGGAGGGCCTTAGGAATGGGGTCTACCTTGCCAAACTAGGAAACTTCTTCTCTCCCAAAGTGGTGTCCCTGAAGAAAATCTACGATCGAGAGCAGACCAGATACAGGGTGAGTCCTTCTTCGCTCGGTGCTTTAATTTCCATAAACTTAGGAGAGAAGGTTAGTGGACTTTATCCTGTGTAAGAGTTATTGAGAAATATGTGTAGGTGTGTTTATTCTGACAAAATAAGGCATCTGGCAGAGTGGAGAAAAGGGTGCAAAGTCAGAGTAGTAAAAGATGGCTATCTGTATTTCTGATATAATTCTTATGATGGTGTGTACCTAGAAATCTTCATGGTCCTTGATGGATTTTTCATTTCTTAAAAAGTAGAGGAAGTAACTAGGGGGGGATTACTACTTTAATCTTCACCAAGCACTGAGATTTGTTGGCAAACTGAAAGCAATAGCAACTTTAGGAAAAAAGGTCCCCCTGGAGTTCAAGGTAAATTGGGAAAGCAATCCAATTTCAGGAAATTGAGGTACGTGAAAGGGTTTGATTCCTGTGGCCCAGGGCTCTGAAAAAGAAGACTGCTTGGTTAAGTTGGAGTGTTGACAAGGACCAAAATCTGTTGTGGGGGAGCTTTCCCATGAGCGCCTCTTTGGAAAAGGATGAGCATAAAAGGTGGAGGATTGAAAAACCAAGAGCAGATAGAAGCGGGGCAATGATAGGAATTGGGCCAGAACCTGGAATGAACCAAGGATGAAGACAGAATCAAAAGAGATTTTTACGTTTCATGTTTAAATTCAGAGGACGACAGGGGTGTAGGCAGACCAAAATTGACATCCCAAAGAGAAACTTTCCTTTTCTGAAGGCAACTCTGTTGAGTGGCGTACCGTGTGGGACAGAGCAAGAAGACACTTAAAGAAGAGTAGAGACTGTATAGCAATAAAAATAATAGTCCTGCCCCTCCTCCCGTCTGGAGAGTGAATCTTGCTGAAAAATAGCAGACATAGAGGTTTAGAGGGGGATATTTGTATGTGTGGTATCCAAACCCTGATTAATATGTTTAATATGTCAGTCTGTAAGTATTTTCTCTCTGCCAGCCACCACACTGAGTGCCTTATGTACATTTTTCCCTTGTGTGTTTACACCAAACACATACAGTGGGTGTTACAGATGGGGAAACTCAACAGGGTGGAGTGACTTGCCTAGTGTCAGCAGTAGACGGCCAAGCCGGGAGGCGAATCCAATATAATTGGACTCCAAAGATCATGTTCTGTAAGGCTCAACTCTACAGGAAGATTCCCTAGATGGTTCTATTTTTTTTTTTAAGATTTTATTTTTTTTAAATAAATCTGTACACCCCACGTGGGGGTCAAACTCACAACCCCGAGATCAAGAGTCATATGTATGCTCTACCAACTGAGTCAGCCTGGCTTGGCTCCAGGTAGTTCTTTTTTTTTTTTTTAATTTTTTTTTTCAACGTTTATTTATTTTTGGGACAGAGAGAGACAGAGCATGAACGGGGGAGGGGCAGAGAGAGAGGGAGACACAGAATCGGAAACAGGCTCCAGGCTCTGAGCCATCCGCCCAGAGCCCGACGCGGGGCTTGAACTCACAGACCGCGAGATCGTGACCTGGCTGAAGTCGGACGCTTAACCGACTGCACCACCCAGGCGCCCCTACTCCAGGTAGTTCTTAAGTGAGGGGAGCTGAGATTCGGGTTTTGGGGAGCAGAATCTTAACACAGTGCTTTAGACAGACCTTAAATGTAAGGGGACCTTGCAAAGTCTCATAAGGGGACCTTGCAAAGAGTCTTTATTTAGTATTTGCTTCAACATTGCCAACAGTGCCTAATTGTCTCTTGTTTGTTCTAGGCAACTGGCCTGCACTTTAGACACACTGATAATGTGATTCAGTGGTTGAATGCCATGGATGACATTGGATTGCCAAAGGTAATTTATGTGATATTCAAGTTCGGGCTTAGATAAGGTTGTTTTGGCATGTAGTTGTCATTCTACCTGTAAAATTATTCTCAATCGGATCTTTGGTGATTTTCTTTCTTTCTTTCTTTCTTTCTTTCTTTCTTTCTTTCTTTCTTTCTCTCTCTCTCTCTCTCTCTCTCTCTCTCTCTCTCTCGTTTTTTTAAGTACTAAAGGATCTCTTTCTTCTGTTTGTTTTAGGAAATAGTTTTGTTTTTTTTTCTTTCGTTCTTTTTCTTTATTATTACTCATTTCTGCTTTACCTTACCCTAGAGAAATTCCCTATGATGTCATTTACTTTTACTATATCAAATTGTAGACTTAGATTAAAATTCATGTACCATGAAATCTACCTTAAAAAAATTTCTTTTAATGTTTATTTATTTTTGAGAGACAGAGCACAAGTCGGGGAGGGGCAGAGAGAGGGGGACACAGAATCTAAAGCAGGCTCTAGGCTCCAAGGTGTCAGCACAGAGCCTGACGCAAGGCTTGAATTCACGAACTGTGAGATCATGACCTGAGCCAAAGGCAGATGCTTAACCG